CCACCCCCATCATTATGTACAAGAAAACTTAATGTGAAGCATGTTCGGAAGTATATCAGAAACATGTCCAATCAAAGTCTGCTGAGTATACTAAATAAATTCTTCAAAATAAATATGATTGCAAAACACATTATTGTTCTTTGAGACTCTTCCAACAAAGATAAGAAAAACTGTCTTCAAAAGATCAAGAGGAAAGAAAATGGTAAAAAGAAAATGAAAGTAGAAAATCAGAACAGAATTCTATTAGCAGCAAAGGTGTCAAAATACTTGTCTTACAGCATTCCAAAAAGGTCACACCATACCTGGTTTTGCACCGTTTACAGTCGAAACGTGGCCAGGGGGTAGACTAGCCCATGCTGTGCCTTGTCTTTTATGGACAGAAGGGTTTCCATGAGTAGCCGGAACATAACCAGGATGGTGGGGTGGAAATCCATTTGCTTGTACAGTCTTCCTCTGTCCAGTGACTGAAGTGTAAAGAATAAAGCTCAGGACAAAAAAAAAGTTTGTTACTTTTTTTCAAAATAGATAAAAGACATACGTTGTCATCCATGGAATACAAAAACTGTGGAGCAAGTAATTGATCCATGCTCTTTTTAATAGAAAAAACATTGTTTAGAAATTGAAAACAAAGTATGATAACTTCTTGGAGTTTTTATTGTTTTTAACAAGTGAGTACTTCACACTAAGACAGATTTAATAAAAATTGAATTTATATCTTCCTTCATTTTCCCCAAATTTAACCACAAATAAAGAAAAAAAAATTCTTTCATACTTTTCAAAACCGGTTTCTTCCTTTCGTCTTTCCCTAGCAGCTCTTTAGCAGACTGTGGTCGAGTTCTCCGACAGGCATCTCGCAAAACTTTTGACTGAAGAGTTGCACTCGAAGGTCTTTTAGAATGAGATGCCTTTCCCTGCCTTGCAATTAGTTCAGGAATAGATGAATTGCTACCCCTGGAAAAGTCATGAGAACAAAGAAAACAAAATAAATGAGTGGAGATGAAAATTACAATTTTTACATTTTCATTCTTATTCAGAATAAAAACTGCTCATTCCAAGTGAACAGCAGCACACACTAGAAAATGTTCCTCAAGTACATTAAAATTTCTTCTCACTGTGAAGAACGCATGAGTGCACTTACCCCCCAAACCTATAACATTGTAATGCTCCTTTTGTAATTTTGATCTTGTAACATCATTTAATGACAAAACAATACAATTTTCAATTGGCTTACAAATCAGAGTCATTTTTATATTTCATTCAAGTCTGAAGAGTGATATTTGTTGCAGCTGTGATCACATGTTTACCTGAGACAACAAAACTGAAATGCTTTCTTACCTGAGGGGGAGTTATTGTTGAATATCACTGAGTCATAAAAAATTTCCTCCAAGACTTACCATGCGGCTCTCTGGTATGACGTTGACAAAACTGGCGGAGTCGCGGTTAGTTCCCTAAAACTTTGTCTACCACTTGAGAGTCCATTGCCCTCTGTCAACTCTGCCTGTTGGTGCGTAGCATTGACCCCGAAACCATCGGTACTTTGAAGGTCTCTTTCAGTTTTTAGATGAGTATTTTTAAGACTTCGTGGAGGTTTGAGACTTCCAGCATCATGGAGACCAATGTTGTAAATGCTGGGCTGTATCTGGTTCAGTCTTGCCATGGACGACACGACAGGGCGAGACCAATTCTGAAACACGCAGCACAGTTTGTCAATAAAGTTTATCAAATAATTTTCTGAACTACACACACACACACAAACACACACACACACACATGCACACACACATACACACACACACACATGCACTCACACATACACACACAAACAACCACACACACACACACACACGTGAACAGACACCCCCCCACACAC